TCCAAATACTTAATAACCATGTCTCCTGTATTCTCATCCAAATACTTTTTACAAATGACAAATAGTGGAATGGGTCCTCTGCAGGTGAACCACCCGACCCCACCTTCACTTAGAGTCATAGAGATATACAGCATGGAAACAGACCCTTCAGTCCAACTCGTCCACGCCAACCAAATATCCTAAATAAATCTAATCCCATTTGCCAACATTTGGCCCATATTCCTCTAAACCCTTCTTATTCATATACCCAACCAGATGCTTTTTAAATGTTGTAATTGTACAAGCCTCCACGACTTCTTCTGGCAGCTCATTCCATACGCGCACCACCTTCTGTGAGAAAAATTTGCCCTGTAGGTCCCTTTTAAATCTTTCCCCTCTCACCTTAAACCTATCCTGTCTACCTGCGATTCTGCTTTCAAGGAACTATGAACCTGCACTCCATGGTCTCTTTGTTTAGCAAAACTCCCAAGGACCTTACCATTAAGTGCATAGGTCCTGCCCTGATTTGCCTTTCCAAAATGCAGCACCTCACATTTATCTAAATTAAACTCCACCTGCCACTCCTCGGCTCATTGGCCCATCTGATCAAGATCCTGTTGTACTCTGAGGTAACCCTCTTCGCTGTCCACTACACCTCCAATTTTGATGTCATCTGCAAACCACTAACCACACCTCCGATGTTCACATCCACATCATTTATATAAATGACGAAAAGTAGTGGACTCAGCACTGATCCTTGTGGCACACTGATGGCACAGTCCTCCAGTCTGAAAAGGAACTTTCCAACACCACTACCTGTCTTCTACCTTCGAGGCAGTTCTGTATCCAATAGCTAGTTCTCCCTGTATTCTATGTGATCTAACCTTGCTAACCAGTTCGTCATGAGGAACCTTGTCAAATGCCTTACTGAAGTCCACATAGATCACATCCACCGCTCTGCCCTCATCAATTCTCTTTGTTACTTCAAAAAACTCAATCAAGTTCATGAGACACAATTTCCCATGCACAAAGCCATGTTGACTATCCCTAATCAGTCCTTGCCTTTCCAAATACATGTAAATTCTGTACCTCAGGATACCCTCCAACAACTTGTCCACAACCGATGTCAGGCTCACCTGTCTATAGTTTCCTGGCTTTTCCTCACCACCTTCCTTGAATAGTGGCACCACGTTAGCCAACCTTCTGTCTTCCAGCACCTCACCTGTGGCTATCGATGATGCAAATATCTCAGCAACGGGCCCAGCAATTGCTTTCCTAGCTTCCCACAGAGTTCTAGGGTACACCTGAACACGTCCCGGGGATTTATCCACCTTTGCGTGTTTTAAGACATCCAGCACCACCACCTGTGTAATATGGACATTTTTCAAGATGTCGCTATTTATTTCCACATCTTTCCATCTTCCATATCCTTCTCCACAGTAAATACTGATGCAAAATACTCATTTAGTATCTCACCCATCTCCTGCGGTTCCATACATATGTAGCCTTGCTGATCTTTAAGGGGCCCTATCCTCTCCCTGGTTACCCTTTTGCCCTTAATGTATTTGTAGAATCTCTTTAGATTCTCCTTAACCCTATTTGCCAAAGCTATCTCATGTACCCATTTTGCACTCCTGACTTCCCTCTTAAATATAGTCCAGTGCTTTTACCTTCTTCTAGGGAATCACTTGATTTCTGCTGTCTATACCTGAAATATGTTTCCTCCTTATTCTTGACCAAAACCTCAATTTCTCTAGTCAGCCAACATTCCCTACACCTACCAGCCTTGCCCTTCAACCTAACAGGAACATACTGTCTCTGGACCCTTATTATCTCATTTTTGAAGGCTTTCCATTTTCCAGCTGTCTCTTTACCTGCGAACATCCGTCCCAAATCAACTTTTGAAAGTCCTTGCCTAATACCATCAAAATTGGCCTTCCTCCAATTTAGAACTTTAACTTTTAGATCCAGTCTGTCTTATTCCATCATTATTTTAAGACTAATAGAGTTATGGTCACTGGCCCCCAAGTGCTCTCCCACTGACACCTCAGTCACCTGGCCTGCCTTATTTCCCAAGAGTACGTCAAGTTTTGCTTCTTCTCTAGTAGGTGCATCCATTTACTGAATCAGAAAATTTCTTGTACACACTTAACAAATTCCTCTCCATCCAAACCTTTAACATTATGGTAGTCCTAGTCTATGTTTAGAAAGTTAAAATCTCCTACCAATTATTTTCACAGATAACTCAGATCTCCTGATAAATTTATTTGTCAATTTCCTGCTGACTGTTGCGGGGTTGGGGGGTTTGGTGGTGGGATCTGTAGTAAAATCCCGATAAGGTGATCATCCCTTTTTATTTCTCAGTTTCACCCAAAAAAAACTTCCCTAGACATATTCCCAGGACCATCCTCCCTAAGTACAGTTGCTCCAAACTAAAGGCATGCATCAGGGTTTCTGTTATTCAGTGCTTTCTTCGGTGTGGCTGGAAATAAGAAATGCCACAGAATGAACAAAGTTACATTGATCAGGTTAACTACTAGTATAGTACTACTTCACAGCATTAGTACATTTGATTCCTGCAATAGGCTTGAGGGCTGCCAGTGCCACAGGCACAGGCTGTTAGCTGTGCAACTCATGTGGTCATACCCATTGATTTTGAAGAAATCCATTCAAGCTTTGCACATCGCAGCTTGTAATGATCCCTGCCCTGCAGGGAAATCAACCCTTGCATGGGTTTGAAGCTGCACCACACTAATACATTTTTAGGCTGTTGCATGGAGTGGTAGACATCACATTTAGATAAAGCATTCCTTGCTGGTAGTATTTATTCCTGTGATGTTAATGTGAAATGTACAAATTAAACCGACTCCAATTTCCTCTTTTCTATTGATTCATAACTCAGATTTATAAATTGCATGTGATTTAAATTGGGATTTAAAAAAAAAACCTTTCTGCCATTTTGTACGGCATTATTGTTGTCTAGTTATTCATTTGTTTCACTGTTGTTCATAGTTCTGTTATAATAAACTCTTAAAGTGAATGAAGGCTAAATATGATCCACTTTTAGTCCTTGCTTCTGAGTTAAAAGACATTGGTTGTTTGAAGAGTTGCTTTGTAATGTGGAGTGATAATTTTGCTTATTTAGTTTTGTATTGCCTTTGAATTTAATAATAGAATTTGAAATGATGAAAGAGAATTGATTTACTGTGTGACATAAGTTGGAGGCAATTTAATCCTCTGTCATTCAGGACCCATGTTGCCACATATTTCCAACCTAAAATCATATCTCCCACTATTCTGCTACTCCTGGTTCAGCAGTTGTCTGTTACTCCAGCAATTCTACAGCTTTATTTAATAAATGTGAGGCAGTAATAAGTTTCTATCTGTTAACAGAGGACTATCCAATCCATTTAGCTAAATGACATTATTTCTCAGCCAGATTTTCATGGTTGAGGGTCATTTGGACACCCTGGTAAGAATTGAGACTAAATTCTCTGTTCTTGATTGTGGTGTTCATGTACAATCCCCATGACTAGCCTGAAATCTGGAATTCTGCTAATACTGCTCTTTTGTGCAAATAATGCTACGGCAATTATTTATTCTCGCTCACCTTTCAATGTATATAAATTTCCAGTGGGTGTGCTCATAGTTATTTGGAGGAAATTGGATACTTTTTAGCAGTATTTGTTGTAACCAGGTCGGGGAGGTTGCTGCACTAACCCTGGAACTGGAAAGAGTGAGTGTTACCTATTATCCCTTCATTTAAATGGACAACTGTCATGGTACTACCAATCTATGACATAAGTTAGTTGCTCACCAATTTTGTCTTCCACTATATCTGACTCTCACCTCAAAGTTGACCTTATTGGAGAATTGCTAGATGGGCCAGGTGCTCCCCAAAGTGGCTACTGATGTGTTAGCTTTGATGGCAAATGTCAGAAGGCTATTCGATCACAAATAGACATCACAATGGAACATTGTACAGTGCTCAGAAAACATTGACTTGTGCCTGCACCCAACAAAAACAGTGAGTAGTGATTAAGAGTGGAAACAGCACAGTTTTCTCATGGTGCACATTCCATACCGAATCAATTGACATGAAGCAACTCAGGGCAGATTGGGAGTCAAACTTGACAGTGTCCTAGTTGACATGGACTCAGCTTATCACTGAATCCGTGCACTTGAGACATTGGGATAGCAAAATATTTTTGAAAATAAGTATTTCTGCTCTTTTCCTCTGAAGGAGAGGATCCCTACTCCTGCAAGAAGTGAGAAAGAAAGGGGTAATAGCCCCCAGCTGGTCTACTGTCATCAACACAAAGTCTTATGGATAAGTGCAGATCATTGAAGTTTGCTTATAGTCTGACTGTGAACCGAAAGGCAAAGAACAGCAGGAGTGAGGATTTCAGCAACGTTACCAGATCATGCTGGAGTTTGGCACTTTATGGCCTGCCCTTTTTAGCCTGCCCTTTTTAGTTCTGAATCTTCTGGCTTGATAAACAATTTGCACTATAACTTGATCGATGTGCTTGCTGATAATGATGCAATGAGGGCCATAGTCCTTTGATTCCTTTTTTGGTTTTGTTTAGGCAAATTATGTAAATTGAAATCTTTTTAGCTCAGCTGCATACATATGGTAATTTTAAAGAGGTCAACTAGCACAGGACTGTCTATCTTCATTGCTTTTCAAGGGCAATGGAGTCGCTGAGATCCTGGCGAACAGTGACATCAATAAACAAAGAGACCCAGTAATCTTTCTAGCTACCCACTGATATTTAAGGATTGAGAGATAGAGGATTACCTAGATAATCTAAGATGGAGGACGGGAAAAAGTTGTGGCTGTAAGAGCTGCTACTTTTTTGAGGTATCTTCAGTTTTAGAGCAGATTTTCTTGAATTCTAGGGGCAGTAATTACTGTTTTATAAGCTGTTGCATTGTTTTGAAACTTTGGCAAAACAAAAATCAAAACAACAGCATTTTAAAAAGGAGGAAGAGAGACAAAGGTAGTGACCACTAGGGAAGTAATTCAAGTGGAGAAAGAAATTTAAACTGCTTTCTGACCAGTTATCTGTACAGCTGCTGCCTTTGCTGTCTGCTTTTGAGTATCTCTGGACATCGGAGTTCGTTCTAAGAAAAATAAACAAGCAGCGAAATTCACAGCTGACGTTGGAGAAGCCTGTGTGTGGAGCTCACAGCAGGAGAGCAGCTAAATTGTTTTTTAAAGTGTAACTTTACTGTTTTTCTTTTATAAATCTACAATAGTGAGTAGAGTAGGTTTTTTGATTATATGTTATTGAGATCTATCTCTTGATTAAACTTTAAAAATATAAAAACGTAGGTACTAAGTTAGCCTGGAGGAGTGTTTTTAGAGCAATAAAACTGTGCTATGTTCTGGGTCTGTAGATTGTTAAGGTGCATAGATTTTTTTTTAGTAGAGTGATGTGCTCTTATTGTTGGATGTGGGAGATTCGGGAGAGTTTCCATGTTACTGATGATTATGTCTGCAGGAAGTGTATTTGGTTGCAAACCCTAACGGATCGCATGGACAGGCAGTTAGAGGCAATCTGACCCCTAGTGAAGTTCTATGTGACTTTTTTGTTTAATCTTTCTTTAACTTTCTCATAAAAGTATTTTTCCTGTCTTTCCCTCCTAGGGTAACAAAGGTGGAGTGAGCATAAGGTTTCAATTTCATAACACCACCTTGTGTATCGTTAACTCACATCTCGCAGCTCATACTGAAGAATGTGATAGGCGGAACCAAGACTACAAAGAAATCTGTAGCAGAATGCGTTTTATTCAGTCTACTCTGCCACTAACCTCTCTCACAATCATGAAGCATGAGTAAGTCTCCAACGTTGGTGGGTTATGTTTCTGAAACTTGCATTGTATGTAGTTACTTAAGCTGCTGTTGCCTGGAATACCTTATGCTTTGCAGTTGTTCTAGAGAAGCCTGTTTCTCCATCAAGCATTGCTTGATATGTCTTTTACATAACAATCAGCCCCTCCAATGCAATGGTCTGAGGTTTTTTATATCAATTGATGTGGAAATGATCTGTAAAAAACAGGAAGATTGCACATTCAATAAAATCCATGTTGATTTTATTAATCTGCGGAAGGACAGCATTTACAGTGCTCTAACACTTCTGAAGAAGAGTCATATCAGACTATCTCCACAGATGCTGTCAGATCTGTTGAGTTTTCTGTTTTTATTTCAGATCTCCAGTATCCACTGTACTTTGCTGTTAATTGATGGTAATTTAATTGATCGAATCCTCTTAGGCTCATGGAAAATGTATTCAGAGCATATATCCCTACCGAGAGTTCCCTTATCTGAAGTTTGTAGTGAAACCATAAATACATCACCTCGTAGATGGTCAGAAGGAGATGGAAGAATGAATATATAGGCAGTAATTGGATGGGGTTTTCAACTACGTTAGTACTAACTGAGATAAATCAGTGTAAAAGGGGGTGAGGACATAAAATTCCTAAAATATTTTCAGTAGAACTTTTTTGCATTAATTTATATCAAAACCACTACGTGAAGGGCAGTTCTGGATTTACTTTTTGAACTAGGTATTTGAGAGACCATTTTTATTATGTAAAGGGACAAAGATAAACAAGGATTAAAATGCCAATTGGGAAATGGCAATTTACTAAGGTGTAAGATACAGCTGGTAGAAACAGCTACTGGAAGGTAAATCAGTGTCAGAGCAGTGAAAGGAGATAGTTTTCAGAGCAAATGTAGCCTCAGGAAAAAGAAGGATTGGATTTCATATCTAGATCTGTTGGATGTTGAAGAACCTACAGAATAGGATAAGACATAAAGGGAGAATTTTTGTCAAATGTCAACAACTCAGTACAATAAGCCCCCATTTTAAGTTGCCTAATCCAATGTTATGCCACTTTAACATCATGGATGTAATTGGGCCGGCCTGCACACTGTATTGGGATTTACGTTTTTTGAGTTGTTTTGCAACAACTTATGTAACATAGCATGGGCACAGCTTTCTTTTATAACTTTGCTGTGCAATTTTCTGTGAAAAATATCTATACTATCAGTATTCACTATATAACCTCCAATTGCCATTCCTGTTTGATGAACCTGTGCCGTTTTGCTTTCCTGCCCCACCCACTCACTTCTTCCTTCTCCAAGGCCCTCCACTACAGTGAGTTATTGTACTGCAGAAAGACTAGAAGAGTGTAGAAAGCGCAGGAGAAGTTAAAAAGACAACCAGGAAACAATGAGAGAGCAATAAAAAATATTTGCAAGTAAAATTAAGGAAACACCAAAAATCTTTTAAAAGCAGAGAGTAACAAAAGACAGGGTCTGACATAGACCAAAAAGGTGTCCTGTGTGTGGAGATGGAAGATGTGGATGTGGTTCTTAATGAATACTTTGCATCTGTCTTCAGAAGAGCGGAGAATGAGGCAGGTGTTGTAGTTGAAGAGGAGTGTGAAATGTTGGAACAAGTAAACATAATAAAAGAGGAAACAGTTTATTTGAAAGGAGAGAAAACACCAGGCTATTGTGTATCAAAGGCTCCAAAGAAAAGCACAAGAAATCATAGAGGCTCTGATCAGCATTTTCCATTCATCTGTAGTTGCAGGCATAGTGCGGAATGAGCTGCTAATGTCGCACAGTTGAATGGTTGTTCACAAAGGAAGTGAAGACTGGTCAGCCTAACCTCCAGAGCTGGGTATGGATTTGCTAAGGAATGGATGTGTCTGACTAACTTGATTGAGGATGTACCAGGACGATCTGATGGAAAATAATATATTCGATACATCTACCTGAATTTCAGCGAGGCACTCGACGAGCTCTCACTGGGCAGACAAGTAAAAATCATGGAAACCAACAGAAGGTGGCATGTTGAATGCAAACGTGGCTCTGTGATGGGAAAGAAGGGGTAAACATGTTTTTGTGACTGGAGGACTGTTTCTGTTGGGCTTCCAGGGCACTCAGTACCAGGTCCCATGCTTTTTGTGGTGTATATTAATGATTTAAACTTGCATGTGGAGGATTGACTAAGTTTTAAAGTGCTTCACAAACTAGCCATATACTTCATAATGATTAATAAAGAGATGGTCAGTGGCAAGATATCATGGCTTGATCGATGGGCAGAGAAGTAGCAAATTAAACTCATTCTGGAGTATTGTGAGAAATGTATTTTGATAAACAAGGCAGAGTAAAACCGAATAAATGATCGAAACTGATGTGCACGGATCCCTTCAGAAGGCAGGACAGATGCACAAGGTGACTAAGGCGGCAATATGGATACCTTTCCTTTACACTGTTGGCCTTGCAGCAGAGTAATGCATCCAGTTCTGTCAGCCTATCATATGAACATAGGATCAGGAGTAGGCCACTCGGCCCTCGGGCCTGTTCCACCATTCAATGGGATCATGACTGATCTGTGGCCTAACTCCGTATACCTTCCTTTGGCCCATATCCATTAATACCTTCACTTAACAAAGCTTTTTCTATCTCAGACTAAAATTAACAACTGATCCAGCATCTACTGCCATATGTGGAAGAGAGTTCCAAACATCTCCCACCTTTTGTGTGTGTAGAAGAGCTTCTTAACATCTCTCCTGAATGGTCTGGCCATAATTTTCATACTATGCCTCCTAGTTCTACAATTTTTAACAAGTGGAAATATTTTATCTTTATCTACCCTGTCTTTTCCAGTTAATACCTTGAAGACTTTGATCAGATCACCCCTTAACCTTGTAAATTCTAGAGAAAACTAATTTGTATAATCCCTCCTCATAACCCCTGAAATCCATGTATTTGTAAACCTACATTGTACTCCCTCCCATTGCCTTTATATCCTTCTTAAGGTGCAGTACCCAGATCTGCTCAGTTACAGGAAAGATGAATATTAAGGAGATTTATGAGTATGTTGTATGGAGAAGAGAATATCAGCGATGAAGAGATCATATAGACTGGGGTTGTTTTCTTTGGAACAAAGGAGGCTGATGGGAGATTTAATCGAGTGTTGTAAAATTATTGGGTTCTGAGATGGGGTGGATAGGAAAGATATGCTTCAAGAACTCAATATCCCAGGCAGCATAGATTCAGTTTGAAGTAAAGTTGTTTCATTTGAAGTCGTGGAGACCTGGAATGCCCTGGTTGATAGGTTAGTGCAGGGGGAAACCCACATTACATTTGAAAAAGATGCCTGAATGTGCACTTGAAGTGATGGAGCCACCAAGACTACAGACAGAGAGCTAGAGTGTAGAGTTAGATCAGGCTGTGTGGAATTAGGACAAAAAACAGAATGAATACCAAGCTGTCTATGCACATAAACATAGCATTATGTGTCGGAGCTATTGCTCATATTAGCAAAAGGTAGGAAGCGGTGTTCTGCAGGAATTATCTATGATCGCTGATGTTCTCCATTTGCATATGCAATTTCGACTCAGAAATTGTAAGAGTAGTTTTCAAAATTTGCAGATTACATCAAATTAGCAGTTACTATCAGGAAGACTGATAAAATACAAAAAAAGCCTTTGAATAAGTGTATAGCAAATGAATTTCCAGGTCGGTAAGTGTAAGGTGGTATATGTTACAATAGTGGTGAAATACCTTTTAAACCTGTTAGCTTGGAGTTGTTTGGAGTTGTCTCTTTCCCATGCTAGTCTAAGGTGCTGTCCAATATTCTGTGATGGAGGATGGACCACAAATAAATTTTAGAAGAGGCTGATAACGAGATGTGGTTTATTACATAATATAAATAAATTAAATCTCACTAACCAGAGGCTGATGAGACACATGTGTCTCCATTAGGAGAACCCTCCACATTGCTCCAGTTCTGCCAAGTGTACATTATAAATCAGATTCAGCAAAGCTTCAGCCTAACCCATATGTTAACTCTTTCATGACCATTACCTTATACAGCAATATGTTTTGTTAGGAAGAATTAGGAGGCCACATATTCCTTGAAAAGCAAATGTCTAAATAGAGAGGAGAAACAAAAGGACCTTGGGGCACAGATTCACCGGTCACTAAAAGTAGCAGCATAAGGTTTGGAAATCCAAAAAACAGCAAACAAAGCAGTCACTTCTAAAGGGAAATAATTAAAAAGAAGTTAAGTAAAACTTGTGGAGCACATTGGTGTGTGTCAAAAGTCATGTACAAACTGAACCAGGTGAGAATAACAAATTTCTTTTTACAAAGGACATTATGAAATCCCATCTAGTTCATTAATAATCCAGTAATTCCACAGTCAAGTCAACATTATCAAAACTAGCTTTTCATTGCATGTTTATTTAATTAACAGAACTTAAGTACACCAGTTGTCATGGTGGGATTTGAACACTTGTCATTATAGATAGAATCATAGAATCCTACAGTGTGGATGCAAGCCATTTGGCTCATCAAGTCCTCATCGACACACCAAAGAACAACCCACGCCCCTAACTTATCCCTGTAACCCTGCACTTCCCATGGCCAATCTACCTAACCTGCATAATGTTGGACTGTGGGTGGAAACTGGAACGCAGGAGAAAACCCACGCAGACGCAGGAAGAATGTGCAGACTCCGCACAGTCACCTGAAGCTAGACTCGAACCCAGGTCCCCTGGCGCTTTGAGGCAGCAGTGCTAACCACTGAGCCACCATGCTGACCATTTTCTTTATCTTTAGCAATTTCCCCACCAACAAATCACCTTTTCTGTTCATTTTTAAAACTACTTAGCACGACCTTTGGTTTGTTTTCAAACTCTCTATATGGCTCTTTTCATCTGAGCCTATCCCCCAAATTACTATTTAAACTCCTCAGGACACCCTATCTATCCTTTCCTTTAATAATGTTGGCCGCACATTGATTCAGGTGAAATCCATCCTAACAGCACAGTTCCTCCTCTCCCAATATTGGTATAACTGCCTGATGAAATGGAGACAGTTTCTCAAAGCATTCTTCAACCACATGTTCAATTACCTAATCTGTTTAATGCTACTCCGATTATCATGTGGGTTTGAGTAACTAACCAGATATTGTAACCCTTATGATATTGTACTTTAAGTTAGCTGTTAGTACTTTTCAACCATAACTGTTTTTCTCTTTCCAACATCATTGGTCCCAAAATAGACCATCAGAACCACATCCTTTCCTTGCCCAATCAAAGGCTTTCTCCAGGCACAAGGAAACATTCTGAAATCTGTACCAAACTGGAAACGCAGTCTTTAGAATACCTGGTTTTGTTGCAAAAGAAAATATACTCCCCTAACTATTCTGTCTCAAACCTCCACCACATCACTCTTCGCTCCCAGCCAATCCTGCAAATTTGAATGGCCTCCTGTACTATGGTGCCTGGATTGAGTCCATGTAAAGTTATATCCAAATAGATTTAGATAGTGAGATGCCAATCCTGAGTTCCTCAATCAGGCATTGAGTAACCAGCTACCTGCCCACATTGAAGCTCAACCTGACAGAGGTCGGGCTTCCCATGGTTTTTTTTTCTACAGTGTGGAAACAGTCCCTTCGGCCCAACAATTCCACACTGACCCTCAGAGCATCCCACCCAGACCCATCCCCCCTTTAACCCCCCTAATCGAGGCATCCCTTGAACACTACAGGCAATTTAGCATGGCCAATTCACCTATCCTACACATCTTTGGACTGTGGGAGGAAACCGGAGCACTCGGAGGAAACCCACACAGACACGGGGAGAATGTGCAAACTCCACACAGACAGTCGCCCAAGGGTGGAATCAAATTCGGGTCCCTGGCACTGTGAGGCAGCAGTGCTAACCACTGAGCCACTGTGCCACCCCCTTTTTTATTATTTTTTTTCTTTTTTTAATCTTCCCTCCCCATTTACACAAATTACAACAGATGGAATGAGAACACGACATCACAGCTCCCAGGAGCAAGGGAAGATAAAAATGTGACACATGGAGACCATTTTCCCAAATCAGGGAGGAAGACAGAATCTGGTTCGAGAGCAGAATCAGTCTCATCCAAATACTCATCCTGTTCGGGGTGGAATTGGGGTTAACAACAATTTGGCACAGACCAAACATCATCCCCTCCATTCCCCCAATCCCCAGGAGCAGCCTCACTTCCTGACTCCCACTGATGAGGGGCTGTGGGGCCTGGGGTATTGCAGAACCTGGATCTTGGTGCCGCTCGGTTCTGTGTTTCCATGAAAGCCACAAACAAAGCTTAGGCTCAGACCGGACCAGAGTCACCTCCTCAGCCTTTAAAATTTCTCTCTCTCTTTGTGTGACCTGTTTTAAGCTCCTGATGTGGCTCGGAGTCAAATTGTGTCAAACCTGTAGTAGGTGCCCTGCCAGCAGCCGCTGGTTGAATACCAGAGGCAGCAATAAGGGGTAACTAATTGCCCAGTTAAGGGTTTCATTTGTTGCCAGTGCGATAAGGCTGTCCATGAGCCTTCCTTGCTGGGGCTTAACTGGGGCAAAGGTGGGAATGTGGCAGGGTCACCACTCACCATTCACTATCCAAATTAAATTCCCTTCATTCACTATCATCCTGTCTTGCAACAACATGCATGTGCTGTAAATCTGCTGGGTTTGAGACGAGGGAAAATAGTTTATTTATACTTCCACTTTTTAACAAGGGTGATTTTTTTTTAATTAACCCATTCAAAAATGTTATTAGACACCTCTGGAGCAAATGGGACTTGAACCCGGGTTTCCTGGCTCAGAGGTAGGGGCACCACAACAGCACGACAATGACCCCTCTCACTTCTATCATGAGTCAGACCTTTTGAATTACTGGTGCTGTAAAAAAAACAAATTCACTAGAACCTTCCCAAACATGGTAATGAATCACAACATGATAAGGCTGTGCAATTTGTCTCATCTCAAGACTAGATGAGATGCTTCAATATGTTGTGAAGAATGCTTACACATTAGGCATGTGCACTCTGCCTCCATCCTGCAGAATACTGAATGTGTAACAGATTGCCAGAAATAGTCATTCAAAAACCACGTAGTTAAATATCTTGTTGAAAACGGGTTTGGAGATGTTATTGGACAAGTGTAGACCGAAATGATCAGGTGCATGTGATAAACAGTTATTTACATGATGAATATGAGGGAGACTTGGAGATTAGGGGAAATTAATGTAGAAAATTTCATGTAGAGAGAAACAGTTATTTTCCAGCAAGAAAGGTTTATTAGGACTATCAATTGTAGATTTGTTGGGTGTGTAATTATGATCTGTATATTTCTTTCAGAAGATTTGGTCCTTTTTAGATTGTAAATTGTTAACATGGAAAATAAGCATTTTTTATATTCTTCCCTTTATTACTTAAGTGTGAAACAAAATGGAGGAAGCTTTGCCTGACCTGAAAATTCTTGAAGGGTCAAAGTAGATGGATATTGAGTCTGTACTTAATTAAATTCCTTGTTATGATGACTCAGTTAACCCTGTTTGACAGTGCGCATGACAGTGCTGAGTGATAACATTTTTTCCATTATCAAGTAACCTTCTGGCTCTTAGACTTTTGCATTGATGATCAAATTTGTATGTTGGAAGGGTAAATATCTTGAAGTCCATACTAAAATAACTTTGTTCTAAATAAAAGTATGATTTGGAAAAAAAAGTTTTTTTTATATAAATTATGCCATGTTTACTACTTTGTTCTCTTCTATCTCTTTATGGTAAAGCATGATAATATGGCTTGGAGATCTGAACTACAGAATATGTCATCCAGACGTAGAAGTAATTAAAAAGCTAATAGCATTGAAGGATTATAAGAAACTCTTCAAATATGATCAGGTAAGATAAAAATTACATTGACTTGTCACACCTAGGACTACAATGACTTCTGGCGCACTGAAGAATGTTGTCTCCACAGATTTCCAAGTGGTTGCTATTTAGCTCAGATAGATCCAAAAAGACAGAAATTAAAAGGGAGATGCTTGCTTGCTATCAGTTAACAAATTGGTTTTGAGAAAAGCAACTAGGATAATTGCAGGACTCTGGTGCTTGAGGCTATGTGGAGTTATTCGCAAAACTGAACTTGTTGAGCTACCCAGATCCCTAGGAGGGAGCAGGGTGGAGAGTTCTTCAAAATTTCAAAATGTTTCGATTTAAATACTAATTGTTTTGCATTATAAGCACAATACCAGAGGCCATACATTCAAAACAAATCTCCAGCAAAACTATAAATGAAAAGAAGTATACCTCCGCCTCCACCCTGCAGAATACTGAATGTGTAACAGATTGCCAGAAATAGTCATTCAAAAACCACATAGTTAAATATCTTGTTGAAGACGGGTTTGGAGATGTTATTGGACAAGTGTAGACCGAAATGATCAGGTGCATATGATAAACAGATATTTACATGATGAATATGAGGGAGACTTGGAGATTAGGGGAAATTAATGTAGAAAATTTCATGTAGAGAGAAACAGTTAACAATGTAATGGTACAGGTTCACTCTCTCAAATCCAACTGTTTAAAAATTTCAACTCAATTAAAATTAACCTACCTGGACAACTCAACTGGGCACTACGTGGTGCAAAACCTGTTATCTGTTGCCACTTGCATGCAGTCTATTCTCATGCTACAAATATCTCTTGACTCCATCCTACTCAGATTGACCTGAACTGCTGGATGTAGTTCAATGTGTCAGACCTGGAAATAAGTAAAAACCAAAATCCAGCTCAGTCCCAGGCCTGAGACTGCTGGTTTAGAGAGTGAACATGTAACAGCTTCAGTTAGAAAATTTGCAGCATAAAGGTAAGGGCATGAGGTCATTTACAGTACAATCATAGTATAATCTATATAGTAGTCATTCCAAGAAAAACAAGATACATCAAGAGCATATGAAGCAAGGATTATCCATCTTGTAAGGTTTGACCAAACACCTGGGAGCAGATCGCAAAAATTGATATGAATAAGGTGATTGTTTAAGCCCATGATAGCTTGTAAATGGTCATGGCAGAAGTAGATTTAATAGGATCTGTTCGCTTCTGCTTATTTCACACTTCTCTCCCCTCAATCTTCCAAGATTCAGTTAAACAATATCACACAGTATTTTACTCCACATTCAGAGGAGACAAGTTAAGTGAGTGGACAAAAACTTGGCAGATGGAATATATTGTGGGGAAATTTCAGGCTATACATTTTGGCAGGAAGAATAGAGGAATTGAATATTACTTAGGTGATGGAATACTGCAGAAAGCTATGGAGTAGACAGAATTAAGAGCCCTTGTCCATGAATTGCAGAAAGCTTGCATCCAAGATCAGTGGATTATAATGAAGGCAAATGGAATGTTTGCTTTTATTTCAAGTGGAGTGGTATATAATGTAGGGAAGTTTTGTTAACACTATACAAGGTGCTAGTCAGACCATAGCTTCAATACTGTGAACAGTTTTGGTCCCCCTGTCTAAGGTAAGATATACCGGCACAAGAGGCTATCCAGAGAATGTCCACTAAACTGATATGAAGTACCAAGGGATTGTCTTATGAAGAACAGTTGAGTAGATTGGGCCTGTACTCATTACAGTGTAGAAGAATGACAGACAACCTTATGAAATGTACAAGATTCTTCAGGGACTTGACAGGATAGATGTGGAAAGGTTGATTTCAATTGTGGGAGAGCCTATGACCAGAGGGCATAATCTTTGAAAAAGGGGTCAACCATTTATGACAGCAATGTCGAAGAAGTTGTTTCAGAATGTAGCGAATCATGGTATTCTTTACTGCAGAGGGAAGTTGAGGTTGGCTCATCAGGCATATTCAAGGCTGAGAAGGACAGATTTGTAACTAATAAGGGAATCAAGGAGGAAAAGGTAGGAGATGGAGTTGAGTATTATAAGATCAGCCATGACCTTAATGAATGGCAGAGCAGACTCAGTTGACTGAAGGACCTACTTATGGTCTAACCCACCATATTTAAATTTTGTTTTCGCGGCTGAATCAGGGTGATTAATCAAGACCTAAAGTTCATAAATAAAAATTAGTTATTACAACAAAAATACTAATTTATGATTTAACACATTGTACTGTTGTCACACAGTAGTAAACATTGAAGCAATAAGCACTTCTTCTCCTATTGTTGCATAGCTAGCAAAACACATGGAGGAGTCGGGTGTATTTCAAGAATTCATGGAAGGACCTATCAATTTTCAACCAACCTACAAATACGATATTGGCTCTGATAATTGGGACACAAGGTAACTGGCCTCTTGGGCTTTTTATTATGAATAATTTTTCAATGTTGGTTTGGCAGATGTTTTCTTGAAACATTGTGCAATCAGGGCCAACTAAAAACAGTTATAAATACAGAGTACCAGTTTCCCTTGGGGTACAGTTCCAAAAGAAATGCCATCCACCCCTGACTTGACTGCTTCCTTCAAGAACAATTAAATAATTGCATTTATAGAGCACCATTAACACAACAGGTTATTTCAGGACATGTTACAAAGGAACAGTAAGAACAAGAGAAGCTGACAGAGTTCAGCAGTGGTGACTAAAGACCCACCTAAAAGTTGAATTTTGTGGAGGCTTTTGACTGACGTTGAAAAAGTAGAGAAGCAAAAGAACACAAAATTAAGTTGTTGGTAAGCCTGGAGATAGTAAATGTAACATACAACCATGGCAAGCATGGTAGCTGATTCCAGTCTCATTCTTACATGACATCTACATTTGGATGCTTCACTGGAGTTACTCGTTGCTGATCAGTATTATACTCCAGAAAGGCTGGTGGTGAAGGATAGATTGGAGATCATCTTTACACCTTTTTATAAAACGTATACTTTTACAGAGATGCACACTGCAAGCACACAGCTTCTAATCCAACAAAATAGTTTCAGTCTGTTCCTACTTAACAGCTTGTGATTGTGTTAAGGAGTTTGAGTTCAGTACTTCATTAAATCAATGTCCTGTCCCAAAGGCAGGTCCTTGACTCATTGTCTGAGCAGCTTTAGATAAGGATGGATAAGAGACCTCATTATCGGCTGATACTTCACCCTGTGTCAGTTTCTCAATGTTGGTTTGGCATTGCCTTCCACCGTTGGGGCAGGGCAAGGAGGCAGATCACAAGTTTATCTCAGTTGGAATTGGAATCAAAACCAGACTGATGGTGTTTTTTTCTGAACAGGATACTAACTATCCGGCCAACTGAGCTAACTGACTTATCTGCTGTCTTGTTGAGTGTTTTTTAATCATTTTTTCTGGATATGTTTTGAGGCAGATGAGATTTGAAAGGAGCAAAAGTGAATCCCCAGTGTAAGTTACCTCCCACATATCACTAAAGACAATGAATATACAATTACCAATCAGGCCAGGGAAGCCTAACCAATTTATCTCCTTCCTTGTGAATGACTGCTAAGACTCAATTATTCTGAATACTTGACTTGGACCAACAAATTCAGATGAAGCTATGAATCAATAATTAATTACTTCCAATGTTTAACTGAATGCAACTTTAAACTGTTTCATCATTTTTGTGTGTATTTGTATAAACCACTTGGAGACAGGCAGAGGGTCTGAAATGCTTTTACCAAAGTGTTGTCTTATTTACTACTTAGTGAGAAATGTCGAGTCCCCGCATGGTGCGATCGAATCCTTTGGAAAGGAAGCAACATCAAGCAATTGGAGTATCGCAGTCACATGGCTTTGAAAATCAGTGACCATAAACCAGTTAGCGCACTCTTTCTAGCTGGGGTATGGAAGCATTTTAACACACTTAATGTTATTCAGACCTAGTTCTTGGTCATCTGTGTAAAGAGAAATTGTCAGCTGGAGTTCCATGTTTGCTTAAATTTTAAGTAGTTCTTTAAAATGATCAAACATTATAAGATCCAATGCTTGTGTAAATTAATTATAGCGTGAACTGAGACTCAAAGCATCTTAGAATTAAAAAGAAAAATTAAAAATGGAGTTGTGGAACTTGCTGGAATGAAAGGAATAATGCTAAATTAAACTTGATTACATAATTGCTGGTATTAATTGGGCTTCACTGTTTCTCAAAGTTCTGATGGTCTAACAGTTGGAAGTGATTTCTTCCTCTTCCCAACACTAAATTCACAGCACAAACTCAGACTGGTGCAACAGAAATCAAACAGAAGCAGATCGAGACCCCACACAGGAGGAAGACAGCATACTGGCATTAGACACTATGCAGTGTAGGCCTCAAATAGTGTGTGAAACCTGGTTTACAAACCTTTCAGAGGATTCTTTAGATCTCCAACCCTACTTTAGAACCTGACTTTAAATTTACATTTTAGAGATTGGATTTTTGCCTTCAGCAACAAGTACATTTTTAACTATTGTGAGACAGATTAGTACAAACATACAGCTGTCTCTCACCCAGGACAGCTAGGTTTGCAGTTTACTAGGAACTAAGCAGTGTGGCCAAGGTGGTGCCTGGCTTCAACATGAGGTGCAGCTTTTTGCCTCAAATTGGTGTATATATCCTGAGAAAATGGTAGGGGACATAGTGATGAAGGGAAATCGTAAATAATGCAGTCATGAATGGGAATAACATTTCTTCACCTTGAGAATCTGTGAGTAGAACTTAATGCCTTTCCCAAGGACCTCTTCAGAGGTTGAGGGTTATTTAACTGGGCAAGAGAGTAGCAGATGAGGAGCCTGTCCAATTAAGTCACATTTGATGTCGCCAGGTTAATTTAATCTATTGTCTGCCACAGCGTTAAGTCGAGCCCTTCTTCATTGTGATTTCTTTCCTCAGTATTAGTAATTTTGGAGTAGCTCTCAGCAATGATTAAGCAGAAATAGTTGTCAATTAAAAGCTGAAAATGCTGAGAGCAGAGATGGGCACGGTACCATAATCCAGAGGGAAAGAGCTATAGGTGGGCATGTAGATGAGTGTCAGTGATTTTGGCAGGGAGCATGTTTTCAAAAGAAGTGAACCTGACAGTGTCCCAGAGGGTTGGGACTCTCTTGCTCCTGGCCATGCTGCAAAAGATACTTTAGATCTGGAATCAGCAGCTCCCCTAGCCATCATCCTTAAAATATGATTAAAAACTGTTAAATTTAAATTAGACTCCCAAATGTGTTTTTGGAACCTTAGTTAATGATATTGATGAGTGTCCTTTGTCGAAGGTAGGATGCTCACATGGTTTACAATCCATTGTCGTAAAAGCACCGATGTAAGATACAGATTGTGGCTGCATTCCCCAGTTTTTCATTTATTAATTCCTTCCACCCCTCACAACCTAGCCCACTCTTCATGGACTGGTTAATATCAAGGTATTGTTTCATCAGATGTGATGGCAGGACATTGATTTGATACGTTAACTTGTTGCCTGACCTACTAAGTTTTTCCAGCATTTTTTGTTTGTTTTCACATCAGATGTCCAGCAGCGCACATTGTTTTGCTTTGATTTAAGGAAATTTTCAGGTTCTTTTAAATTAGAACTTTGTGGTGTTCGAATCTTAAGCACAGTTGATTTTTTAAATTACAGATAAAGGTGGTCAATGAAGAATTATGCAAAAAGACATATGAAAACATTGTTCGCGTACTGGACAGAATGGAGAATGATTCTATTCCTTCAGTATCCTTGTCCAAAACAGAGGTAAGACATTCTGTTACGTGTCAGAGTCATCCATCTTTCTGAATGTACCATGATGCACAATTGTCATTTCAGTTCACCTTGGGTAGTAATTGCTCGCTAGGCAAATCAAGGGTCTGTCAATGAGGTGGAACTGCAAGCCTCATAGTCAACTTAATGCATAATAGTTCTCCAATTTAACATTTAAACAATGTCACTTGCATCAAACTTGTGTTACTGCCAAACAAATTTGATCACAAAATGCTCTTTTCATCTACACCCGATCTTGCACTCAACTAGCCAAATAGAATGGAAGTCTTTTTCCTTTAATCAGAATGAGACGGAACAGTGTCAACTAGCTCTAAAATATCTAATCATATAATACCTACAGTGTGGAAGCAGGCCACTTAGCCCATTGCGTCTCCACAGAGCATCCCACCCAGACCCACCCCTACACCCTGTCCCTGTAACCCTGCATTTCCCATGGCTAATCTGCCTAACCTGAACATCCCTGAACACAATGGACTATTTAGCGTGGCCAATCCACCTAACCCGCACATCTTCGGACAGTGGGAGAAAATGGAGCACTTGGAGGAGACTGACACAGAGATGTGGAAAATGTCCAAACTCCACAGGGACATTCGCTGAGGGTGTAATTGAACCCGGGTCCCTGGTGCTGTGAGGCAGCAGTGCCATGATTTATGGTATTTTGAATTTGATGAAATTCTGCTCAAATGGGCACTGATATTACTGATGGATGCTGTAGGAGGATGTCTCCTAAAGTGAGGGTTTGGGGTCCATTCTGAGTGTTCGATTGAAGTGTCTTTGAATTTATTAATAAGGCATAAAAAAAAAGTAGGACCAAGTGACTCCCTCAAGCTTGCTCTGCCATTCAGTAAAATCATAGCTGCTCTAATTGTGGCCTCATCTTCACACTTCAATCTGTCCAACCCCACCTTGAGCTTATCCTTTGGGGAAGAGAATTCCAAAGAATTTCAAAGAAGCAATTCCTGTTATTTCTGTCTTAAAAGGAGACTGCTTATTTTGAAATCCTGTCCCCTGCTTTAAAGCCTATCCATAATCTCTCTGACTGAGCTTTATGACTGAGGACAGACCAGGGATTGAAATGGGGCCATTCAGGGCCCAGCACTTCATTTTCATTCACTAATGGGATGTGGGCATTTCTGGCTGGTCCAACATTTATTGCCCATTCAAATTGCCCTTGAGAAGGTGGTAGTGAGCAGTCTTCTTGAATTGATGCAGGCCGTAAACATATTTTCTAATCAACCTGTTCAGGGATGTTAATGCACACCTCTGGAGCAGACGGGTCTTGAACCTGGAATACAGGAGAGCCATCACAATACTGTGCCACACTAAATAGTTCAGTTTTCATAAATTTTGAAATCTGTTCACATTTGCTATTTAAATGCAAAATGTAAATCAAATTTGTTTCACTGTGATGTTCACAAAAAGTGAACAAATGGTAGAATGTCGTCCTAGAATTTCTCCTGGTGTTATACCCTATCTTAAGTTGTTCAGGAGAACTGTGAAAAAAATACCATTAACCACAGGAAACAGACAAAGGCACCACTTTTTTGTGGAGTCTGGCAATTTTCTACCAAGATTATAGACACAAACTGGTTGATGGATGCCACCCACCTTCCAGGTTTTCTCTCTTTTGAAAATCTGAATGACTCTTGAATGGGGGTGGCTGTGTTGAAGGACGAGCTGAGTTCATGTTCCCCTGCAGTCGTAACGTGTTTCCCTCTAGTGACCATACCCTGACTATCAAGACAGAGAGATTCACTTAGCGTTGGTGTGGATAGTATTATCTTTCCCTGGAATGTTTGGATGCCAGAAATCCGATACCTTGCATGGAGCAGGTTAAGACTGACATTGTCTTGACATATACTGTTCATTGCCACACTGCTGTGTTTTTACTATTCCATTTGTCTCATTAAGACTTTAATTGAAATCTGACAGAGATGTGTATTTATAAAAACAAAAGACTGTAAAAGATTCTGTCCTTCTTCACAGCATTTTGTGAAAAGTGTTTTCTTTTTCTCAGTTCCAATTTGAGAATGTGAAGTTCATGCAGCTTCAGGTTCAAACACTCACAATTGCAAATACTGGACTAGTGCCCTGTCAGTTTGAATTCATCACAAAGCTGGATGAGCCTTCGTACTGCAAACCATGGTTCAGTGCTACCCCTAATAAGGGAATTTTGAGTGAGGGTAAGTCTGTTTGGGTATCAAAGCATAAATGCATCTCTTTTGAACATTGAGCCATATTTCATCTCATATTTTTGAGAAAAACTTCAAAAATGGAAATTATATGCGACTGGGTGCCAGACTGAATTAACCTCCTGTTGTTTCACACTGATTTTCAGGGCAGGATGTGAGGGAAGTTGTCACACTGAGTAGAATGGATCATACATGCAATTAGTGTGAGACCATGGGTTACATTTTACAAAGGGGTGTTGCCAGAAGCCAATTTGCACCAGAGGTCCTGCTCCACAGCCATAACATTCTGTGGGCAAGATAAGTTGCTGAATAGCTGGACTTGGCTACATTAAATGTATGAAAAAAGCACATGCTTATTTCCTGGAAATCCAGAAAAGAGAGAGCTGAGATTAGAATGATACAGTACAGAAGGAGGATATTTGGTCTGTGCTGACTCTTCGAGAGGGGGATCCAGTCAGCCATTTCCTGGTTCTTAACCATGGGCCTGCAAAATTTTCCTTTTTAACTTTTAAGTACAATTCCCATTCTTAAATATAGGACTGAACTCATTCAGTCCTTGGAAATGCAGTTGCTTAAGAGTCACTTATCTCCTCCTTATCACAAATCAGGACTTGTTTCCTAATTTTCTTTGTAACAAATTGAATTATTGTGGCTGTTATCGACAAGAGACTGAATTATAAGAATATTTTAACTAAGGTACAGAAGAATGTTGTCTTGTATTCTTCGAATGAAATGAATCATTCTTTGCAGTAATCAGATGCAGATTGTTTGGTTTTGGGTTGGACTTGTAACAACTGATTAACATGGTTTTACATTTTGCAGGGGAAAGGATAGAAATTGAATTAGAAGTGTATGTGAATAAATTTACTGCGCCCTCATTAAATATGGGAACGGACCGCATTGACGATATTTTAATCTTGCATCTACAACGAGGAAAGGATTACTTCCTGGCTATTTATGGGAATTACCTCCCAAGCTGCTTTGGATCCTCGTTACAAGCACTTTGTTACATGAAGGAGCCAATCCGAGAAGTGAAACCCGAAAGAATACAGGAGCTGGTGAGAAAAGGAGCTTGTTATTCTAAAGCAGCCACAGCCATGGAAATAGCTTTGCTTCTAAAAATGTTATGCAAGGCCGCTCAATATTCCCTTGTTTGCTATGTTTAACATCTGTGATAGATCACACCCAGAAAGTTGTTGAATCAACTGGTACTCCAGGACTGGGGGATATATTTTCGAGTGATACTTCCCAGCACGCTGCTTAGTGAATGCATTCCTGTTAGAGAGCACCAAAGCTCTGGATAAGTTGGGGGAAGGACATACCCAACGCTGCCCTCATCCTGATGACCATCTTTGTGTGGGGCTGCGTCAAGCTCTGAGTGGACCCTCGGTTCACAAACACCAAGTGTTACGACGTACTGAGGTTCTGCCTGTCCCTGGTATTGCAAAGGGTGGCACGGTGACTCAGTGGTTAGCACTGTGGCCTTAATTCCACCCTCGGGTGACTGTCTGTGTGGAGTTTGTACATTATTCCCGTGTCTGTGTGGGCTTCTTCGGGGTGCTCTGGTAGCCTCCCACATTCTAAAGATGTGCAGGTTAGGTAGATTGGCCATGGTAAATTGCCCATAGTGTCAGGGATATGCAGGCTAGGTAGATTAGCTATGGTAAATGAGGGGTTACGGGGATAGGGTATGGGGTGGATCTGGGTGGAATGATCTTCAGAGGGTCAGTGTGGACTTGATGCGCCGAATGTCCTGCTTCCACGCTGTAGGGATTCTAAGATTCCACAATTCTATGGGACTAGCCTTGGTGTTGCGGAACGGTCTAAATATTTGGATCGTTCCATATCACCTGTCCTTTGTGGAGAAATTTTCACAGAGAAACACCTTTGACCAAAAGTCCATCAGGAAGTGGTCAGTATGTAGCATCCTCAAGACCCTGTGGAGAAAAGAGAGGTGGATCCTATCGGGTAGCTTCCTGAGCAGACTGTCAGAAATATTTGGCAGAATATCTCATCACCAGAACTTTCCAACAAGCACCAAGAGAAAGCATGGCTGGTAGTGAAAAGGGCTCTACCTGTGAGATCCTTCATGCATGCCTGGACTTTCTCTGCCACCGCACACTGTCCTCAAAGCAGTTGTGTGGGGGTAGAGACTGTCACACAACTCCTTCTGGAATATATCTTTGCAAAAGAAATCTGAAGAAACATGCAGTGGTTTTTGTCAAGGTTCTTCCTAAGTAGCTCTGTGACGCAAGTCTCTGTTTTCTACAGTCTGTTCCCCAGGACGCAGACTGAGACAAACATTGACTGCACCTGGAGGACCATCAACTCAGTGAAAGATGCTCTTTAGTCTGCCTGAAACTTGTTGACCTTCCCCTGTAAGGAGTTGACCTCGACCGAGTGTTGTCTACTGACATATTCCAAGATCCAGGACTACATGCTGAGGGACAAACTAAAGCTTGGGGCAGCTGCTGCCAAGGCGCAGCAGGGAAAGACCACTGCCTTGAGATCTTTCTGCCAAAGTACAATGGGGGTCGATTCAGTTATTGGACCCTTCTGGTGCCTCAAATATATGTAAATAGTATCTTGTATAAGTAAGAAATGCCTTTGGGTTTGAGGAACTGTTGGGAAAGTCAACTCCAATGTTTACTTGTTTCTCCATATGCAAAGAACTGAATTGCTTTAGTGACTATGTTTATATATAAAGTTTTTTTTTACATAAAAAGTATATTTTTGAAATAAACAAAGTTAGAGAGAGACACTCATCAATCTTGAGGTGGATGAAAAGGACTCTGCATAAATAGTCGAAGAATACCATAAAATTCTTCACACTTATTCTTTAACCGGTACAGTTCCAAATTAAATAGCCTTATTATTTGATGTGATTTATGATTGTCACATGTACTGAGATATAGTGAAAAGTATTGTATTATGTGTTAACCAGACAAATCATACCTTACATCAGGGTAATAGAGTAGGATGCAGAACATAGTGTTACAGCTACACAGAAGGTGCAGAAAATGTTCAACTCTAATGTATGAGAGGTCCATTCATAAGTCTGATAACAACAGGGCAGAAGCTGTTGGTAAATCTGTTGGTATGTGTTTTCAAACATTTGGGGGTATCTTGTGCCCAATGGAAGAGGGTGGAACAGAGTATATCCAGATGGGACGGATTTTTGATTATGTAGGCTGCTTTCTTGAGGCAGCAGGAAGTGTACACAGAGTCAGAGACTTACAGCAGTGAAACAGACCATTTGGCCCAACTCATCTGTGTCGACTAGATATCCTAAATTAATCTACTCCCATTTACCAGCATTTGACCGATATCCCTCTAAACCCTTCCTATTCACATACAACATTTAAAAGGCATCTGGATGTGTAATTGTACCAGTCTCTACCACTTCCTCTGCCAGCTCATTCCATGCAAGCACCATCCTCTGTGTGAAAAAGTTGCTCCTTTTAAATCCTTCCCCTCTCACCTTAAACCTATGCCCTCGAGTTTTGGACACCACTACCCTGGGAAAAAGACCTTGGCTGTCCACCCTATCTATGCCCCTCATGATTTTATAAACCTCTATAAGGTCACCCCTCAGCCTGTGATGCTTGAGGAAAAAAAACCCCAGTCTATTCAGCTTCTCCCTATAGCTCAAACCCTCCAACCCTGGCAACATTCTTGTAAATCTTTTCTGAACCCATTCAAGTTTTACAACATCCTTCCTTAGCAGGGAGACCAGAATTGAACACAGTATTCCAAAAGTGGCCTAACCAATGTCCTGTAGAGCCACAACATGACCTTTCCCTCCTGTACTCAACTCACTCTCCAGTAAAGGCAGTGCCTTCTTCACTAGCCTGTCTACATGCGACTCTGCTTTAAAGGAACTATGAACCTGCACTCCATGGTCTCTTTGTTCAGCAAAACTTCCCAGGACCTGACCAATAAGTTTATAAGTCCTGTCCTGATTTGTCTTTCCAATATGTTGCACCTCACATTTATCTCAAATTAAACTCCATCTGCCACTCTTCAGCCCACAGGCCCATCTGATCAAGGTCCCGTTGTACTTTGAAGTATCCTTCTTCGCTGTCCACTGCACCATAAATTTTGGTGTCATCGGCAAACTTACTAACCATACTTCCTATGTTCACATCCAGATCATTTATATAAATGAAAAAAAGCAGTGGACCAGCACCAATCCTTGTGGCATACCGCTGGTCACAGGCCTCCAGTCTGAAAAGCAACCCTCCACCACCACCATCTGTCTTCTACCTTCGAGCCAGTCCTGTATCAAAATGGCTAGTTCTCCCTGAAGGCCATGTAATCTAACCTTGTTAACCAGTCTACCAAACAGAACCTTGTCAGTCACCTTACTGAAGTTCATATAGATCACATTCACCACTTTGCCTTCATCAATCCTCTTCATCACTCTTCAAAAAACTCAACTTAGTGAGACACGATTTCCCACGCACAAAGCCAAGTTGACTATCCGTAATCAGCCTTTGCCTTTCCAAATACATGTAAATCCTGTCCCTCAGAATCCCATGCAACAACTTACCCACCACCGATGTCAGGCTCACTGCTCTATAGTTCCCTGGCTTTTTCTTACCACCTTTCCTAAATAGTGGCACCACGTTAACCAACCTCCTGTCGTCTGGCACCCCACCTGTGGCTATCGATGATACAAATATCTCAGCAAGGGGCCCAGCAATCACTTCCCTAGCTTCCCACAGAGTTCTAGGGTATGCCTGATCAGGCCCCGGGGATTTATCCACCTTTGTATGTTTTAAGACGTCCAGCACCACCTCCTATTTATTTCCCCATGTTCTCTATTTTCCATATCCTTCTCCAGAGTAAACACTGATGCAAAATACTCCTTTAGTGTCTCCCCCAACTCCTGCGGTTCCACACATAGGCAGCCTTGCTGATCTTTAAGGGGCCCTATTCTCTCCCTAGTTATCCTTTTGCCCTTATTGTATTTGTAGAATATCTTTGGATTCATCTTAAGTTTATTTGCCAAAGCTATCTCATGTCCACTTTTTGCCCTTCTGAATTCACTCAACTATACTCCTACTGCCTTTATACTCTTCTCGGGAATCACTCAATCCTTGCTGTCTATACCTGAAATATACTTCCTCCTTATTCTTGACCAAAACCTCAATTTCTATATTCATCCAACATTCCCTACACCTACCAGCCTTGCCCTTCACCTTAACAGGAACATACTGTCTTTGGACTGTCGTTATCTCATTTTTGAAGGCTTCCCATTTTCCAGCCATCCCTTTACCTGCAAATATCTGCCCGCAATCAACTTTTGAAAGTTCTTGCCTAATACCATCAAAATTGGCCTTTCTCCAATTTAGAACTTTAACTTTTAGATCCGGTCTATTCTTTTCCAATGCTATTTTAAAACTGATAGAATTATGGTCACTGGCCGCAAAGTGCTCTCCCACTGACACCTCAGTGACCTGCTTTATTTCCCAAAGTTCCACTTTGCTCCTTCTCTTGTAAGATCATACGCATACTGAATCAGAAAATTTTCTTGTATACACTTAACAAATTCCTCTCCATTCAAGCCCTTAACCCTATGGCTGTCCCAGTTTATGTTTGGAAAGTTAGAATCTCCTACAATTGCCACCCTACTTTTCTTACAGATAACTGAGATCTCTTTCAAATTTGCTTCTCAATTTCCCCCTGACTTTTAGAGGGTCTATAATACAACCTCAAGGTGATCATCCCTTTTTTGTTTCTCAGTTTCATCCAAATAACTTCCCTGGACCTACTCTCAGGAGTATCCTCCCTAAGTAAAGCCTTAATGTTATCCAAAGTCAAAAATGACAGTCCCCCTCCTCTCTTGCCCCTTTGTAACCTTCTTATTGTATACATATCTTGGAACATTAAGCTGCCAGTCCTGTCCATTCCTGAGCCATGTCTCTGTAATCACTATGATATCCCAGCCCCATGCTCCCAACCATGCCCTAAGTTCATGTGACTTATATGCCAGTCCTCTTGCATTGAAATAAATGCAGTTTAATTTGTCAGTCCTATATCATTCCCTGCTTTT